TGGTATCCCTATAATGCGAGTATTGTTCCGCTTGGATCAGTCACACAGTTCTCTCAATATTCTTTCATTTTTAGAGATCCTTTTTTCTCTCTGTGCCTCAGCTTCTTTGTATTCCTCTTCTCTAGTTTCTATTTCATTTATTGTCTCCTCCACCATATCCAACCTGCTTTTAATACCCTCCTTTGTGTTCTTTAATGATTGGATCTCTGAACTGAATTCATTCCTGAGTTCTTGGATGTCTTTCTGTACCTCCATTAAGAAGTTGATGATTTTTATTTTGAACTCCCTTTCAGGAAGTCATGAAGTCCATATCATTTAAATCTTTCTCAGGAGTTGTATTTACAATTTTACTCTGGACAAGGTTCCTTTGGCATTTCATGTTTGTATATGGCGTCTTCTAGTGTCCAGAAGCTCTACTCTGGAGCTGCTGAGCCCCTGAAGCAATGTCAGGAGTCTCAGGGGAGTGGTACTGGTGCCTGGGGGGAGGAAAGAGCTGTTCCCCGCCTCCTGGCTGCTGTGCCTATCTCCACTGCCTGAGCCAGTGGGCCGGTCACACAGGTATACGTTTTTGTCCCAGAGCAGCCAGATATGGATCCCTGCTTTCCACAAGTTGCCAGAATCCCAGTCTCCCCAGGAACTCTGCGTGTATTAACTTTCCAACCCGGTAGTCATGCGAGTCTCATGAGAGCACCATGAAATGTAGATTTGTGCTCCCAGAGCAGATCTCCGGAGCTAGGTATTCAGCAGTCCCAAGCCTTCCACTCCCTCCCTGCTCCATTTCTCTTCCTCCCACCGGTGAGCTGGGGTGGGGGAGGGGCTCAGGTCCTGTGGAGCCACAGCTCTGGTACATTACCCTGTTCGCTGAGGTCTGCTCTTTTCTCTTGGTGTGTGCAGTCTGATGCCATCCTCTTTCCTGTTGCTTTCTCAGGATTAGTTGTGCCAATTAAGTTTTCTAATTGTATCCAGTTTTAGGAGGAAGCCTCTGTCTCTCCTCTCATGCCACCATCTTTAATCCCTCCTCTACTAAAATTTTATTAATGATTAATGTCAAGAATATGATGTGATATTATGAAGTTACATTTGTAATGCTCATGTGAGAAATATCCATAAAATAATGGGGTATCATATGATAGTTTCTATCAGAGCCAGAATCTATGATACTAGGGTATAATGATTTCTTTTTGAGATCTTGTCTTTCCTTTGTGCTTAGCCAGTCCAAAATACATTTTTTTAAAAAGGATTTTAGTGCTAAATTTATTTGCTCACATTAAAATCCAGCTGATATGGACCTAACCTTCCTTTCTTAATCTCTATTAAGTCTGTATCTTTAGAAAATTTGTAAGGACTTTTTCATTCTCTATTTGTTGGAGGCTCAGAGCATCAGTGTGTTTCTAACACTAATAGCATGTACAAGAGGTAGGCTGTCGTGTATAGTATAGTGACCTTGAAACTCGCACCAAGGTTCACCCTGGCTATGTCAAACATACAACCCACTCAAGGAGTTGCTGGAGAAACATTCTCTGAACTTGGAACTGAAAATCATTTTCAGTAAGATGATTCGTAGAATAGCGGCAAGTATGCCAGAATTCTATGAACATAGCATATCCAAAAGGTGTCACAACAATCACTGATATAATACCTACATTTACGTAATCATAGGCTATTAGTGAAACCACTTAGAAAAAAAAACCCTCATTTTTTCTATGAGGAAACTCAAGTTCAGCACAAGGAAGTGACTTGTCCACGGTTACACTGAATAAGACACAGAGCCTAGCCTGGATCCCATCTCCTGAAGTGTCTTGTTCTTACAACTTTGTTGCAATGATGATGCTTAATTCTTATATCCTTCAGTAATATTGCAGCTGTCCGATTCAATCATTTATTTATTCATTCATTCAAAGATTTTCTGGGTACCTCTTGTGCTCTAGGATCCCATATATGCATAAGACTAACAAAGTCCTTGGTCTTATAGAATTTACATTATACCTTGGGGCAGGGTGTCACAGGGTGGGGACATAAACAGGATCATCACAGATTTTGATAAGTACTTCCCATCTCATCTGAGACAAAAGCCAAAGAAAATTCAATGGCTTGTGATACCCTACATCATCTAAACATCACCCCAACCCCCTAATACCTCTCTAATCTCCTCTGTTCCTCTTCCTGGCTCACTCTGCTCCAGTCTCACTGACCTCCTTGCTGCTCCTTAAACGTTTGAGGCATTCAGGGCCTTTGTTTTGGCTGATCTTTGTGTAGCACCCATCTCCCGATATCTGCATTGCTCATTCCTCACATTCAGATCCTTGCTCATATGTCACCTTCTCAATGAGGTCTTCTTTGACCACACTCTTTAAAACTTATTTGGAGCCTCATTCTCACTATGTCAATACCTGTTCCACTTCTTTGTTATTTTTCTCTCTAGCACATTGGCACAATTCCTGTTTGACAGACTATTAATTATTGTTTTTACTATCTCCCTCTAGATTATAAGCTCCATGAAAATCACAACTGTATTCCCAAGAGCCTAACACAGACATGTAGTAGGGAGGAGGCATGTATAGGAGAGACTATGGGAGTAACTAGTGGGTGGAGTAAGGGGGTGTATGGCACAATTATGTTTTCGTTATGTTGAAATTGAGCTACCCATTAGATATTCATGTTGAGGTGGCACATACACAATGCGATGTTTAAGTCTGGAGTTAAATAGGTACGTTAGGACTGGACATATACATTCTCAGTTTTACATAGAATATGCAATAAAATCTATACTTAAGTCTGAGTATCTGAGATCCTCAACTACTGAGAGTTTTTCTGTGACTTTTCATCAAAACATATTCCTAGTATATCCTAGCAAGTTGATGGCTACTTAGCCTAGAAACTTAAAAAAATGGTGCTTGGAATGGTAGCCTTGGTAGTGAACCAGATGCCCTTATTCAGTCATTTAAAAGCAAAAGGCAGTTCAGTTATGTGAAATACAGAGTCACTTTAAAAAGTTTATCAACTATTAATGAAATTTTACCAAATTTCTCAGATAAGTCAAATAATTAGTCCATCTCATATTTGAGTTAGCTTATTTTTACTACTTCTTTTTATTTTTTTAAACAAGAACCTTCTTTGGCCCAAAGGACAATTCAAAGAGTGACCACTTGCACTGGCTCCTGATTGTGGCATGTCTACAAAATGCGTAGTTTTTACATATATCTCTTTTATCCTCTTATGAGACAGGGAGTGTCATTCACATTCTACATATGAAGAAACAGAGAGAAATTAGATTCAATTTGGCAACATTCACACAGCTCTAAGTAGTAAAGCTAAGACTCAAACTTGGGTTTTCTGACTCCTTAGCAGGTTAGCTGCCTCCCCAGCTGTGGGTCTTTGTGAAACTTCTCTCAGTCTCATTGTGGTAGATACTTCATTTGCTTGGGCTGAATTTCTTTTACTGACATACTGACATCCCCTGGGACTTGGGCAACTTTTAGTCCTGTAGCAACTCCTCAAGATTTCTTCTTAGTATTACCTCAAAATTCTCCTCATTCTCACCCAAAGTATTTCCTAAGACCAGCATTTTCCTCTTGTTCCACTTACCTGTTTTTAATAAGCTATGTAGAATTAAAGAGTGTTAGAACTAGAAAGGCCCTTAGGAATCATCAATGGAATAATCCCTTCATCCCTTGATTTATGTGTAAACAAACAGGCCCATAGAGATTGAATAGATCTGCACAGATGTGTAGGTACAAAATTAGAGAGTCTGCCTCTCCTCGTAATGACACTTCATTTTCATAATTCCCAAATGAAGGGCTAGACAAGTCCCAGAATTCCGGGGATCTTATCTATTTCAGTTTTGTTCACCTTATGTATACACTAAAAAACTTTTCTATCTGCCTAATTTCTATGACTTTTTGGTGAAAAATAAGATAAAGTCAGATTTGTATTAACACCACTCATGCTTCAGAAATAATAGTATTTTTCTTTTTTTTCTCCTTACCCACCCCACCCCAGAAAGTCCTCAGGAACAAAAACCAGAGAATTCAAATGATGTTGAGGTAAATATTTTTCAACAGACTTTCATTGGTATGCATGGGGTCCAACTAAATATAGCCCAGATTTCAAAGTCAAATCAGAGGCAGGATGGTGCAATTTGAGGGACATCGGAACATAGAATTCCTACTCACAATTTCTTCATATCAGAGATCTCTCCCTATCACTGAGACCTGCCCATGCTACCCAAGAAATCCCAAAATCAAAACCCTCACCTTAGCAGTATCATTCCTTGCACAGAAAAAGCCACTCTTCCTTCCTAGCACCTAAACACAGTTCCATTCCCAAACTCTGTTCCCGAAGTCTCTAAAGAAGAGCCTAGAGACAAGTGAGTCATTTGGCCCTGCATAGGGCACATGGACCCAAGTGAAGGACTTGATGGAGGCAGGAAGGGAATGGAAGCTTCAAAACTGGAAGAGAGTGGTTTCCAGGAAACGAGTGCTGATTCCCTCCATTTATCTGTATTTTCCTAAGGACTGGCTTTTTAAAGGCAGCTTTATAAAAGATCCAGCTGTTCTACAGTGTAAACTCCGGAGATTTCCTCTTCCCTACTCTTTTTCAGAAAGTTTCCAATGAGGGCTGAAGTTGTAGATCCTATTCTTTTTTAGCACTTTGTTTCTTGGCACAGCATTCTAACTGTAGAACCAGAAAAGGGGGCTGAGAGTTAGAGACACTGAAAGAGGTCACAGAGAAGAGGTCCCCTACATATCTGTTGGTGAAGTCTCTCCTGAACTGTGCACACATGGAATTGACCTGATGTTACATGGACAAAAGACCTTGAGAATTTCAACTATAGTCTTAATAGTGGTGCGCACACACAGGTACTATAAAAATACTGCCAAGACTTTGGAAACTAAATTTACATTAGAACCATGGCCATAGAAGGCAGGGTAGGATGTGTGGTCTGAACCTAAGTTGGTTAATTACATACTTAAGTAAATGGGAACCGCAAAAGATCAACCCTCTCAAGGGATTTTAGTAAATCTTAGAATTTCATGAAATTTTTAATGCTTAGGATATAATCCAAATAAAGAAGACCTAAGATTCTGTTTACAACTTTTAAGGGAAAGGGTAAGAGATGCCAACATCAACGTAGCCAAGATTTTGAAATTTTCAGACAAAAATTTAAAACAATGATTATAATAATGTTCCATGAAGTAATGTATATACTCTTGAATTTAATGGAAAAAATAGATATTCTCAGCAGAACTTAAGTATATTTACTCATCTCAGACACAAGGTATCATTTGCTCCCTGCTTTTGGATTAATTATGTTCATGGAGTTGTGTGGGCATTTAAAAAAATATATCAGTATCTGCCTAACCCTCAGCAATTTCAGTTTAGTTGGTGGTATGGGACTCAGGGATCCACTTTTTAAAAAAATTTTGCACAGATAGCTCTATTGTGCAGCCAGTAGTGACAGTCAGTGCTTTAGATAGTCTCTGCTCCATTTTATTCCTCGGGTATCTTGTTGGAAATATCTTAATACATAAGCTGTCTCAAATCCTCTTGGAGGAACTATAATAGAATTTTTATAATATCTGGTGATTTTTACAAAATCTATACACATCTTATATATGAGATGTATTTATGCCTTCCTTCATCGATTTTACACTTCTTTTAATTGCTAGCATTATAGAATGTCTACAATGAAGCCCAGCTACCTATCCCAGACTATTTTATGTCTTTCTGGGAAAATTTCTGCTTCAGCATTCAAAGAGGTGACAAAGGCCTACAGAGTAGAGGCAGCATCTGAGCCATATTCCCTGACCTACCAGGTCCACACAGCCACTTTCTTGGTCCCAACTCCCAAATGGTTAAGACTTCTATAAAAGGAAATTAAGAGTTATGTAGTGAGCAGCCATTTCCTTCTATCTTTATCATTATGTCTATTATTATCAGGAAAGAAGTTTTTATTTAATACTTATTTCAATTCAGCCAAAGGAGGGAGGGGGGAACACTGATCATCATTTAATGTTAGCCTAAATCCGTGTCTATGACAAGGGTCAATCCTAGGCATCATGACTGGGCAATATTAAGAGTCTAAGCCTCAGAATAATTCTTTGAGACTGCAGGGCACAGATTTTACATACAATGCAGCAATGGTTGTAGTACATCTGTTGAGGATTTCCAGGTATCTCTAGTGTGTGGTGTCCAACAAAAGTTTAAGTTAGTGCTTTATTTACCTTGGCAGTTTATCACCATCTTTGAAAGAAACAAGAATACCCTTGACAGTGTGGATTCCTCTGAAGAAGTCATTTCAGGTACAAAATATACTATTCTTTTAACATTCCTCCTGGAATAAGTGGATGCAGTATCGACACCTATAATCAGTATGAGACTGGAGTACTATTATTATTACTATCCATATATATATTATGGAGTTCTCTTACTTTAACCTCAACCCAAAGCAGTAATAGATAATGGAACTAACATTCATTAAGTACCAACTATCTGCATTTTATTAAAGAGGAAAGTCAGAGTCACTGAGGAGGGAAGAGAGAGACCATGTCACTAATGGTTGCCCCACAGCTAATCTGCTGCAGAGCTGGGATTCAAAACCAGATCTGCCTGACCTCAAAGCCAAAGCTTATTCAACATGCCCATAAATTGCATACGGAAATGGTCACCGGAGCCAGGCAGGTAGCATAAACAAGAGCAACAGGTTGAATGGGGTCTGTGGCCCACTGAAGATGGGGTGTCCTGTCTAAAGGAGGGAGCAGCTACCTGGGTTCAGTCGTTGGCCTGCTGAGTTGTTGCAGGTCTTCCGATTCAAGTCTTAGGGTCTTTCAAAAGAAGCTAGACATGAAATTTTTATGTGAAAATTCGTGATTTTTACATTTTGTGAAATGCTTTGAAGACCAAACAAAACTTATCCATGTATCCTATACCATTCTACTCTCCCTGCGCATCTCTGAAGACCGAAATTCACAAATGAGAAAATGGAAGTAAAACCTGACTGAGGTTAACAACAAAGAGAACTTTCAGGACTCAAAAACAGTTCTCATGACTTTGATCCTACATTCTTTTTTCCATCAACATTGTGGTTCCAGATAGTTGCCATTGCATCCCAGAATAAGGCCCATATTGGGTTATGACCAAAAATAGCCTGTAGTTTTGCTCTGAAAATAACTATTAGCTGATAAATAAAAGGGTTCATTATTCTCTGTGGGGTTGACTTTCATGTATTCTATTAGAACCTAGGATGCACGAGCCACCCACCAGTCTTGAATAAGATGAAGGAATCTAATAATGAATGTAGATTTAGGGCCAGTGTCAGTGTGCTTCCAGGAAATACCTTGTATCAGAACCACCCAGGGAACATTTTAACAATGTAGATTCCTGGGCCCTTGCCAGACTGGCTAAGTTAGCATCTCCAAGTAATGGTACCCAGGAATCTGCATTTTAAACCACCAAGAACAGAAACTCTTTTTACCTCCTCAATGAGAATTTCAGAAGTCTTGCAACATTGCCCCAATCATGTTAATAAAATTTTTATCTTGTTAGTAAAATTTTATCTTTTATCGGTATGTACATCTCTCTTTCATCCATCTTTTTGTCTTACCTCATTTTGGCTTTTTCCCTTTTAATTCTTAGGTCATTTAAAAAATAATAGCACAGTAAAAAAATACTTTGTTTATGGCTTAAATGTACTGTTTGCTATCTTTGCTTTAATCACAAAAAATTGTATTACTAAAACAGAAATCTAGGTAATGGCAAGAAGTAGTCATGAACTTTAGCATGTTCTGGAATTAAGAAAATATGGGCTTTACTGTTGTCTTTCCATGTCCTGTCCTATCCTATCATAAAGTTGAAAAGTACATAAATGGTCACTTCTGTTTTCATATGTAAAATTATCATTTTTTTAAATTAAAATATGATATTCTCTATGAATCCATTTTCTGAATAAGTGGTACAGAAAAGTGAATCCAAATGGAAACTTATTATCAATACAGTGTTACCTCACATGAAAAAAAGTCACTTGAAGTTAGTCAACTAAACACTTACCCAAAGTGGGTGAGAAATCATAGCAGTTTTAATGCACTTCTAATTTCACTTGAGCACTCAAAAATAGACACCTTCACTGTACATCAGTGAAACGTTACTTTCCTATGTGAGCTTAGCTCATCACAGTGTTTCAGAGAGTTTTCTGTTAGAAAAAGGCATCCTTTGCATACCTGACCAGAGAAGCATCATAATGCAGTAAATATAATGACACCATGAAAGTCAGAAAGTTAGACTCTATCCCCAGGCTGGCCACTTTCTACTTGTGTGACCTTCAGCAAAATATTTGACCTCAGCAAGATTCAGTGTGCAAAATGAAGATATCATTCTTCTTGTTTTCTTCACAGGAGTGTTGGAAGGATCAAAAGAATATCTGTGAATGGTTTTTAAATCCTGAAAATTGTTAAATAAATGTGCATTTCTGAATTTTTAATAGCCAATGCTGTAGTATGTATGACTGCCTCAATTAAAATGTCTAATAAATATCCATATACTTTTTTGCTTTATCCACAGAAATTCTCAAGTCCAATATTACCAAACAAGGATCTAAAATGCTGGTAAAGGTGTCCTCAGCTCGGTCAAATGTGTCTTCACCTCTGTCGAAAGTGTGTCTTCAAATTAAGACCAGGATTTCCAAATCTTCAACACCGGCAGGGTGAGCACTGAAGCTTCTATGCTTGATATAACTATGCTTACTTCCCTGAGAAAATAAAATGTTTTGTAAAGCATAACATGATGCCCTATAAGATGATTCTTGTAATACCGAGCAAAAAACTACCAGCCAAAGAAAGTATGATAAACACCTGGGTAAGAGAAGGGTTTAATAAACATTTCTGATAGACATACTGGTATGAGAAAATGCCAACTTCTAATATTACCTGTGTGCCATGAGAGAAAGAAACAAAAGTGTACCTAGTAAACCAGTCAGTCCCCAGTAACCACCACAAAATGAACATGAATTTTCCTGCTAAATTTTTGGAGGATATTTTCACCAAATAGCAAGTTAAGATGAAACTCCATCTGGATTTTATGGCACTATTACTTTGATTGGTTCACTATTACAAATATATTCTGATATTCAGATAAAAGTGTTTATTGCAGATATAAGAAATCAGGTTTTCCCACCTGCAGATAAAGCGTTATCTGTTTATAAAATGCCTCGCGAGCAAAAAAAATCCAGCTATGGATAGAATACCAACTAGAGATAAGTGATTACTGTGGATAAAATACTATATATGCATAAAATGAGACATGTAATTAAAGAAAAAAACCCTTTACAGACAAGTTACTTTTTGTGTGTAAGAAAGATGTCATCAGTAAAGAAATTGTTGGTAGTAAAGTTATTAAATCCTTTATATAAATAATTTTACATCAACATAAAGACTATAAGGACATGAGTAATGAGGAAAATTTAACAAGATGGATAGCTAGTACAGTGTTAGAAGAAATTTTCAAATTAGTTCACTTGCTAGTTTGTGACATGGATCCAACTGCTGCATGGTTGTCACTGGAATCTAAGGATCATGTTTAAAAGGTTCAAAAGGTGGACCAACAGCAAAGAGTGTTAATCACCATCACTAGCTCTTCTAATGCTGATTCATGAAATTTTGGAGAATGTGTTGCCTTTTTTCTAAAATTTTTTTGACAGGGAGCCAGCTCTAAAGCAGAAACACCTGAGGAAATTTTGATTACAAAATTATGTTTTCTCTAATAAAGTTAAGCAGTCAGTTTATGACATGGAGACCAGAAGAAAAAATGTGATTATATAGAATTTTTACTTTCTAATAATTTATTTAATTAGTAATTTAGTCCAAGTTTAACAATCTCTAATAAATGATCTGATCTCAAAGATCATATAAAATCATGAAACCTATAGATACAGACCTTTCAAAAATGACAGTTATTAAGAAATGACTGGCACTGCAGTTCAAACCTGTTTTCAGAAGAATTCTACCAGTGTGCGTACACTGACTGTGGCATCAAAAGTATCCTTACAGATGCCATACAAACCACTGATGTTCCCCAGCCCTAGACATCACACGCTTTTAAACTG